TATTAGTAAAACGTGTAATCATATCCCTAATTGACTCCTTAGGCTTCATCACGAATAATTCATAATTCGCATAAATATGTCAATCTTGGATCTTTTTACCCGGGAGGTACCTTCATGCGTAACTTTGAGTAAATCACACATTTGTTTTGGGGATTTTCATACTAGAACCCGATTGTGTTCAGCCGGACCAAGTCCACAAATCAAATATTTTAATGCTCGGGCATTATACTTGAGTTTACGGTAATCATCAATAGTAAATTCAGATTTGGATTTAGGAATGACTTTACCTTCGTTATCTATCTTAGTGATGACATAGTCGCCAACCTCGATTACATTCCATACCTCATATTTCTCAGCTTTGATGAAGTTCTCCATTCGACTTTTAAAGAATTGATAGAATTTCCCATTGAACATCGGTGGACGTTGAGTCGAGTACCCTTCTTCCAATCGTTCAACCGTATTCATATTGTCGGATCTCTTCCCAAGGTTTTACCCTTTATGTGGTGAAGACCGGCTCTGATACCAATTGATGAAACGGTTAGTAACACAAGAGGTGGGGGTGAATTGTGTTTCTGTGGAACTGCGGCAGTTTCTTGCACAGTTCTAGTGTGGGTGAAGGTAAATGCGAAATAATAAAACACAAGAATTTAACGAGGAAAAATTCCTTGGCTCATAGGGATTAAAAATCCTCGACCTCCCTTGGAGAAATTTGAACAACTTCACTAAATAGCCAAAATGTGGTTACAAGGTAAATTCTCCTAATCTACCCTTGAGCCACCCCAACTCTATCCTCTCTAGGAAGAGTTATGCATCTCTACCTTGCGGGTAGAGATCCTCTCAGCTTTACAACAAAGCTCTCACACACACTCCATCATACGACATGCCCAGTGCACCCGATTGGAGAGTGATGATGGATGGGATGTGGAGTCTTTAGACCTCATTCACGTGACGAAGTTCCAAGACTTTCGATCAGCACAGGAGGCCGCCATTAAGGAGATGCGGGAGACACAGACTACGACCCTGACTGAGTTACGGGATTATCGACTGGCACAGGAGGTCACCATCAGGCAAATGCGGCAGCAGATAGAGGCTCAGCAGGTGGATATCGATGAGATAAAGGATTGGCTTAGGCCTCGCTATGGCCCACGGGATGATACTAGCTCTGATTAGTTTTTGCTTCCTCCTTAACATTTTACATTGTTTGTTTGTTTATTCAGGTTGGACATTACGCTGCTCTTTTGACTCGATTGCTCATACAAACTGACTATGGATGCTGTAAGGATTTTTAAAACAATTTTATTCCTGTTTTCCTCATTCCTCTTCACAAAATCTTTTCAAAACTCAAGTGTGAGGAAAGAACAAAAACAAATGTGTCCCTTTATTTCCAAATTTTGTTCATTAAAAAAAGACCTCGAGGGTGAGGTCCAGCTCAAGTGTGAGGAGGTTGCATTTTACACTCAAAAAGTTAAAACCTTGTTTTAGAATAATATTTTTACTATTTTTTATATGAAACATTCACTTCTCAATTGTTATCAATCACATAATAGCTTAGAGAATCACTCTTATTATAAGAATTTACTTTTATTATTATTTTTAGAAAACTTGAAATTGTTATGGGTTTTTGGTAGCGAATGTAAAGGGCTAATTTTGTTTTAATTGGACATTCATTTTAATCATAAAACAAAAATACTATTATTAATAAATCTCTTCAAAACTCATTGTTATAGGACAATTCCATCTCCGAAAAGGGGCTCTGTTTCATTCGTTAATCATTGTCTGTGAGAATGAAATATGCATCTACCATGGGATAACACCGCCAACAAGAGTGGAAAAGAGGCAAAAATACTATCATTAATAAATCTCTTCAAAACTCATTGTTATAGGACAATTCCATCTCCGAAAAGGGGCTCTGTTTCATTTGTTAACCATAGTCTGTGAGTATGAAATATACATCTACCATGGGATAACACCGCCAACAAGAGTGAGAAAAGAGGCAAAAAAAAATGTTTGTGAATAAGATAAATGTCCAAATTAGAATAATGAAAACCTTGAGATAAGGAATTGATTGGTTGTTTAACATAATCAATAGTTTTTATAAAGTAATAATAATTTTAAATTCTAGTATTTTGGGTGATTTTTCTAAAGTGTTTAAAAGTTGACAATAAAAAAGGAGATTTTTGTTTCTATTTCTTTAATAGCAATTTGATTGCGATTGAGTCAGGTTTTACCTTTTGTGAGTGTGTTTCCAACTAATTTGTCGCTTGAGGACAAGCAACACTTAAGCGATTTTTGTATAGAAAATAGAAAAACAAAGCACATTTTGGATATTTTGGTTCAAGTTTCATGAATTCAGGTGAAAATTGCATTCATAATATGTTTGGTGAAATTTCGGGCCGATTGAGCACAAAATGAGTCAATTTGAGTAACAAATAAATCCATATTTAAAGAAGGAAATAGAATATCGAAGTGGTCCGGAAGGAAAATTTGAAGAGCAGAAAATAAAGAACAAGCCGCTCGAAAACGCTCAAAGGCGGTCACACAGGCGGTCAGATCTGACCGCCCTCCAGGCCGCCCATGGTAATTTTGGAAAGTCAACTTTACAACTTTGACCTGGACCGGAAAAGACCGAAGGTTGCCGACACTCAACGAAGGGCGGCCGCCCTCGGTGACCGCCTACGGCACAAGACAACAAAGCCAACGACCGTCGGTGTGAAAAGACGGCAGGCGGCCGCCTTCCGTGACCACCTGCGGCGAAGTGTCGTTGCCGCATTGATTCTGTCGGTGAAAAGACGGCAGACGGCCGGTTCAAGCCGGAGGGCGGCCGCCCTCCAGACCGCCTATGAGATTTTTTGTACTATAAATAACCCGATTTTTGCTGAACTCAAATACACCACTTCAAACCCTAAATCAGTTCGAAAAGCCTCCTTTCTTCTTCCATTTCCGCAGCTCTAAAGGGGTGAAAGAGATAGAAACTTCAAATCTTCATATCTTCTTCATTTTAGCTTCAAATTGTAAGTTCTTTATACTCCCTCCTTTTCACAATCTTTGACACACTTTCCTTTTTTGGCTGTTTCACAATCAATGATACACTTCCTTATTTTCTTATTTGGTAAATAAATCTTTACCAAAACAGTGCAAAAGAGTGTCAAACAGTGCCAAACAGTGTTCACACGGTGCCAAACAGTATTCAAACGGTGCCAAACAGTGTACTCTGCAGTAAAATTTACCCCTCAGTAACATTTTTCCTTAATTCTTGCCAAGTCAAATTGTGTCAAAGATTGTGAAACGGAGGGAGTATGTATTTTCATCTTCTCAACCAGTAGAATCTGAATCTGTGCTTTGTTTTCTCGATCTGTTCTTCGATTTTTTCCGGAATAGTTATCAAGTATTTCGCATTTTCTTCCAAAAATTAAGTAAAATAGTTGTTGATGTTGAATTTATTCCAATTAATTATATAGTTGTTTACTAGCCTCAAGGTTGTTATATATCTGAAAAAAGTTAATTTTCACGAAGCACGAGCAATTTTTATTTAATTTCGGTAATTAGTTGTTATTATTGCATAAATTAAATTAATTATTTAAAAATAGAAAAAAAATATAATTACGGTCCTAATTCCAGTTTATTCCACTGCAATATGAAAAATAATTATCACGAATTTAAAGTATTTTTAGTTGCCTTTTGAATTTTATAGTTAAAATTGGGAAAATTATCAATTAGTTGTTAAAATTGGATTTTAGGTCTAATAATTCGTGAAAAATTCCAGAAAGTTATATTTTAGTTCCGACAAGTTTATTTCACCATAATTAAATTTTTTTTTTTATTTTTGCTGTTATACATGTTTAATTCCTTGTTAATGTTTAATTTATTTACTATATTGTTGAATGCAAAAATAATGTGATGAAACGGTTAGTAACACAAGAGGGGGTGAATTGTGTTTCTGTGGAACTGTGGCAGTTTCTCGCACAGTACTAGTGTGGGTGAAGGGAAATGCGAAATAATAAAACACAAAAATGTAACGAGGAAAAATCCCTTGGCTCATAGGGATTAAAAAACCTCGATCTCCCTTGGAGGAATTTGAACAACTTCACTAAATAGCCAAAATGTGGTTACAAGGTAAATTCTCCTAATCTACCCTTGAGCCACCCCAACTCTATCCTCTCTAGGAAGAGTTATGCATCTCTACCTTGCGGGTAGAGAGACTCTCAGCTTTACAACAAAGCTCTCACACACACACGATCCCAAACCGAGGAAGCTACTCTTAGCTATTCCTCGAAACCAAATTACAAGATAAAGAAAGGAAAAGAAACTCTATCTAGAACTCCGTGTGTAGGTTCAGGTGTCTTGAACTTGATAACCCTTTGCAACTCTTTCTCCTTTTGATTACTCTCTCAAGCACACACTTCTTCCTCTTGATTCTCGAATATATAAGCCACTTTAATTTGTCCGTTGGTGTGTCTTTCCTTGAGTAATTGAGCTTCCATACTTGGAACTTGCCTTGATATTATTTGAATTACTTTCCTTCTAGTAGCTCTTTCATATTCATTCTCAAATATGAGTAAATTGACTCATGATTCACGAATCATCATATAAGGGAATAATATTGATTTACTTAACATGTAGGCAGTGGACATGTGTAGCAATAAAATATTTATGCGATCATTTTCTTTTTTCTTTTTTTAGAATATAATGAAATTTTTATAACAGTATGGTAATAAAAGTAATATAGCAGTAGTAGATATCATCACAAATAGTAACAATGAACAACAATAAGTCAACAACCAATCGATGTCAGTCAATGTACCCACTCTCCCCTCAATCGCCACCGATAAACACCGCCACCGCTCAAAGTTGGAGCAATAAACGCAAGTGAAACAAAAAAAGAAAAACATGTAGCTAAGTGAAAAAAGCCTAAATCATCAGATGCAGCGAACGTGAGCACCATTGATGGATAATAGATACTCATATCCTATAATTTAGAAGAGATTTGAGCTAATAGATGTGGAGAAGAAGATGAATAGTAGAAAGAGTGTAAGTTATGTTCTAGGGAATTAGCTTTACAAGAGGCTCCAAGAGGAATATAAATAGGGAAATCCAGGTTTGGGCCTCTAATATGGACCCAACAGACCCGGTTACATAAATGGACTGATAATATATAAGACTAATCTAGTGGATACAAATTGGACTATACAATAATACAAGTAATATCTGTAAGGCGTGTGTGGCGGCTGTCCAGTCCCAATAATCGTGAAACCCGGGAGTCCGAGTCTATATACTCCATCAGGAGTCCCCCACTCCCTAAATCGAAAGTACTCGAGGCGAAAGGGAGTAGAGCTATGTACTGATCTGTCGTCGTCTGGTGGAGTAAAATTCATGAAATTTTTTGAATTTGTGCTTCTTCGATTAACAGAGATGCTAAGTCACCCGCTCTTCCAGACCCCCACTCCTTGAGGTGAATGTAGTGAGGCGAAGAGGAGTAGAGTAATGCATGTCTTCAATAGGGGATTGAGGGTCAACGCCTTTTGATCCACAATGGGGAGATGTCTCGTTAAAAACCCTGTGGGAAAAAAATTCTAATGAGGGAAAAAGAGTACACTGGATGCCCCCAAAATGAAGCAAAAGGGGTGAACCATTCGGCCTGGGCGTGGAACTGCAACCGTCGGCATCTGCTAAGAGGATGGCCAAGATCGGTCCTCGTATGTGCGTAGCTCGGCATGATAGGTAATCCTAGTCATCAAATAAAGATGACTAAGAGATAGGTCGAGCGACCATCCATAATGATGTTCGGGTCATCAAATAAAGATGACCAAGAGTATGGCGAAGAGGCTGATATAAAATCCAAGTAATCATTTAATTGCACATATGCATTCAAATAAAAATTGTTATAATTTCTTGAGATATTAAGTGGCCTCAAATTTCCAAGCTAGGGCTCAAGCTAGATTTCTATGCTTAGCTGAGCGTGGCATGTGTAAAGGACTAAACCTACACCCGTTGGGGGATCGCAGTTCGAATTCGATAGTTAAGGGCACACATAACTCATACATAACATAGAAACTAAAGTATGCATTTGATAACATTTGGATTGGGAGCTTACTATCCACACTCGTTTGACGTGGCCTGGTGGTGCGAGTGTGTGTGCTCGCCCGGTGTACGCGAGTGCTCGAATTCATAAGTCCGTTTTTTTTAATGTCAAAAATACATACTATTTAAAAAATAATGATAATAATTAAATTAATCTAGCTCAACTTGTCACTCAATTCGTAGTTGGGATCCGCCAGACATGCGCATTTAAGGGTCTTTTAACGGATGACTTGCCCCTCGAAATTGAAGTTTGATGCGATATTAATAAAATATTTCATTTTATGATTTTTTCTTGTAATGTCATTCTACTTTTGAATATTAATAAATGGAAGGAGTTTTAGATTCTTAGCTTTTGAGTGGACTATTTGTACAAGATGGTCCATAAGTGCTGAACAAGTCGGGCCCATATTGCTGAATAGGTCTGTGTCTAATTCGCTGATAAGGAAGTTGATAGCCATGAGCTCCTCCTGCTTTCTCTTCCTCGCCAAACATGAGCTGGAGCCCGGAGAAGATTAGAGAACAAATGTTGACCGAGTCAACATCTGCTTTTTCTTGAGAGGAGAACCCTTCCGCCGACGTGTCGTGGATAGAGATGGGCCGCTCGAAGGTCCGAAAGGCGAGGGATAGCTTGCAGGAGACTGTTTGTTGGCGGTGCTTGCGACTGGCATATCACGACTCGTTTGAGCTGCCGGAGCTACGCTGAGGCGAGGTCGCCAGGTCTAGGAACTAAGGTTGGAGGCTGACGCAGAACTACGTGGACCAGGCTGCAACTGTTGAGACCTTAGGTTGCACCTCGAGCGACCGTAGAGCTATGTGTCCCAGGCGTGGTGGCGGAGCGACCAGAAGCAAGGTGGGAGGCGCCGAGGCGGAGATGGCAGAGTCGTACTTCGGGTCGTCCGTAACTGGAGCTGCGGCAGGAGAGATCTACAAAAATGAAGACAAGATCCAAAGCGCCGGCTGTGAGTTCCGTAGTAGCGGTGACGAACTTCGGTTGATACCACCCGGCTCCGTAACAACTCCGATTCATTTTCAGATTTTTCAAATCTGAATTTCCACATTTTTTTGTGTTTTTTCTGATATTCCAAGAACTGATTTTTTTCAGATTCCTTTGTGATGTGGATGAATTTTTTTATGTGTTTGGGAGGATTCCTCACTTGATTTGTTCAAAACTCTCAATGAAAGCACCATATGATGGATAGTATACCCGGGGGGTAGCTTATCTGAGGGGTTACTGCGGGGAGTAACCTAGAGAGAAGTCAGAGCAAATAAGTAAGAGAGATAAAGAGTTCGAATGTAGAATGTGTATTTTAGCTGTGTGTTACAAAGGGGAAAGGGGCAGCTATTTATAGTAGTAATAAATGCTAGACAGGGACACGTGTCAAGCATCCGACGACCGAGGGTCACCTCAATCGGGGTGGCACCGACACTCGCATGTGGCCGCATTAAATGCGGTGGTTGGATGTGACGTCGTACTTGGTACGGTGATTCAAGCGCATGTGGGGAGGATATTCTGTCGATGAAGATGCCTTCGGGTGTAGATGACAAGCCGAAGGCTCTCCGTACCGGGGGCCTCCTAGTACCGAGGGCTCCAAGTGTCGAAGGCTTAGTTTTCAAACCTTGTTCTCCTGTGATGTTTCTGAGCTCGAATCTGTAAACGGTAGCCTTCGTCCATGGCGCCGAATGCACCCCATATGTGAATTGTGGGCTGCTTAGAGCTTCATTCTGCTGGGCTGGACCCATTTTGGGGCCTATTGAGCCTGAATGCAATAGCGGTAGTATGTGGGTCGGGAGTCCCTGGGCCATATACTCTATCACGTTATTTTTGAGTTTATTTATTAAGGAAAAACTAGCGTGTCCAAGCCTCTTATGCCATAGTAGGGGATCATTATCAATAACGCTTAAGTAAGTTAGACCTATATTTGGCAATAAATCAAGATCAACTTTATAGGTATTTTCTAGCCTCTTACCTTCGAGTATAACTTGTTGAGATTCGTTATTAATAATACGACATACATTATGATAAAAAACAACATTGTTACCTCGGTCACAAAATTGAGAAATACTTAGCAAATCGAAGTTTAAACTCTTGACTAGTAAAACATTGTCAATTCAATGGTTGGGTGACTTTCCAACTTTTCTCACGGCAATAATTTCCCCTTTACCGTTATCTCCAACTGTCACCCTTCCACCATTAAATGGCCGCAGTGAGAGGAATAAAGATGCATCTCCGGTCATTTTCTTAGAACAATCACTGTCAAGGAACTAGTGATTGTTCCCCCTCACTCGGCGTTGTTCCAGGATTAAGGGTTAGCGCGTGGAACCCAGACCTGCTTGGGTTCCATTTTATATTGCTTTGAGGAAGGATACCAAACATAGTTCACGCTTTTTTCTATAGCCTTGAGTCGAGAGAAATATTAAAAGCGAAGATGACCGATTTTGCCACAACGCATGCAAACCCGTTCATCATAAGCATCAACATATTTGGGTTTCCTCATTTTATTAAAACCATTATTTCTTTTATAAAATGTTTAGTTTGGCGTTTGTCCATAACCAGCTTTGCCCCTTTGAACCATTCTATCGAATCAGGTTGGTCCGGTTCTAGATTGCGTTTGATTTGGCCTAGAACTGGTTTGTCCTCTAATTTTGTTTCCATTAAAGGGTTGGTTCTGAAAACTTGTTTTTTCATTAAAGTGAGTGTCCCTTGTTTTGTACCGAGACCAACAGTCTCATTCTCCTTTTTATTGTGCCCAGAGGGTCCAGTTCTAGAATAAGGTCTAGACCTGGTTCTGTTATTGGCATGGCACGGTTGATATTCCGGTTTATTTTTAAAATCTTGTCTCTCGGCCTCAAGACGATTAAGATGTTCAATAAACACACAAATGTTCGGAATTTTTGAGAGAAGCTTCTCACTTTGATCAACTTGTTTGTTTATACTATCGAGCTATAGTGAACAAATAATATTCTCTTGTTCTAAAACTACTGCACTGTATTTAAGCTTCTCATCTATCAACTCTCCCACTTTAGTCTCAAGCCTTAGCTTTTCTCGTGTGGTTTCCACGAGTTTAGATTTAAGCTCAGTGATTTGTGATTTAAGATTCTCATTTTCAGAAATATTTTGATTAAGCTCGATAGTCAATCTTTTAAAAAATCCAAACTTTGGTTTTGGGCAGAGAATCAAACCAAGAGAGAAAATTTTCCAAATTTACCTTAAAGTTCTCTTGGTCGGATTCCTCATCGGAATTAGCCATAAGACATAACCCTGCATGATTAGAACTCTTAATCAGATGAGTCTCTCGAAGCTGCCATCATTGCCTTTTTGAGATCTCTATTGAACTCTTTGTCTTCACTAAACCTTAGGTTGGAACTTGACTTGTTCTAATCATAGGTTCTATCATTCTTCTTATGTGGACAATCGTTTGCCATGTGTTCAAAGGAACCACAAACAAAACAGCATTGGTTATTAAAAGATTGAGAGTTCTTTTTACCTTGTTTGTTCCTGTTGCTTTTGAACTGCCAGTACATCTTCTCGAACTTTTTAGCAAACATGCTCATCTCGTATTCTGATTGGCTTTCGGATTCCTCCTCTTCCTCTCGAGCCTTCAGAGCTATTCCTCTTTCTTTCCTTACATTTTCAGCATCTTGTTCTTCTTGTAGTCCTAACTCATACGTCATGAGTGAACCCGTAAGGTCTTCTAGAGTCATTATAGAGAGATCTTTGGCTTCCTCTATTGTCGTAGTTTTAGGCTTTCATGTAGAGGGCAAGCTTTTCATTACCTTCCTTACTTGATCTTCAATAGAAATAACTTTTCCAAGGGCTGAAAGCTCATTTATGATATTAGTAAAACGTGTAATCATATCCCCAATTGACTCTTTTGGCTTCATTACGAATAATTCATAATGCCGCATAAATATGTCAATTTTGGATCTTTTTACACGTGAGGTACCTCCATAAGTAACCTCGAGCAAATCCCACATTTGTTTTGCAGACTTGCATCCTAGAACTCGTTTATGTTCGGTAAGACCAAGTCCACAAATCAAGTATTTTAGTGTTTGGGCATTATGCTCGAGTTTTTGATAATCATCAATAGTATATTCAGATTTAGGTTTAGGAACAACCTTACCTTCATCATCTACCTTAGTGATGACATTGTCGCCTTCTATAATTACATTCCATATCTGATAGTTTTCGGTTTTGACAAAATTTTCCATTCGATTCTTCCAGTCGTTCAACCGTATTCATTTTGTCGGGTCTCTTCACAAGGTTTTACCCTCTATGTGGTGAAGATCGGCTCTAATACCAATTGATGAAACGGTTAGTAACACAAGGGGGGTGAATTGTGTGTGTGTGGAACCGTGACAGTTTTTCTCCAATTTCTAGTGTGGGGTATAGGGTGAAGCAAAGTAAATAAGTGCACAAGGATTTAACTAGGAAAAAACTCTTGGCTCAAAAGGGATTAAAAAACCTCGACATCCCTCGGAGGAATTTTAACTTCACTAAAAACCTTTGAATGGTTACAAGAGAAACTCTCCTAGTCTACCCTTGAGCCACCCTAACTCGATCTATCCTCTCTAAGAAGAGTTATATTTCTCTACCTTGCAAGTAGAGAGCCACTCAGGTTTACAACAAAGCTCTCACCACACAGTTACCAACCCGAGGATGCTACAGTTAGCCAAGCCTCAAAACCCCATTATAAAAAGGAATAAGGAAAAGTAGAAACTATATCTAGAACTCTATGTGAGCAGTTTCAGGTGTCTTGGACTCCGGTAGTTCTTTGGTGAGTATGTCTCTCAATAGCTGCCTCGGTCAAGCACACATTCTTCATTTTTTATCTTCGATATATATAGCTGCTTGGTGTGGATCCGTTGAGGCTTTTTCTCCTTAGATGGCCAAGTTACCAAGCGTGGGACTTGCCTTGTTATGATTTAAATGTCCTTCCTTTGTGGAGATTCTTCATTTTAAGTGCAACGGACTCATACATACATATATGGAACATATTTCAAACAAAGAAGATTTCTCACAAATATATATTTACCATCGTATATTAGGGGAAGCAAATTTATTTACTTAATGTATATATGCACGCAAATTAAGTCATGCAATCATGCGAAGCAACCGGAGATCCTTTCCATAATATGTCAAGTTATGTGGGACAAGTCAATTATTGAGTGTGTATCTAATCATGCATGGAAGGTGATTAAATGAGTTATGCTTCAGTTCTAAAATAGTTATGCGCAAAAAGATCCTTGCTTAAAATAGTCTAGACTAAATAATTGGTCTATTAAAACAAGTGAGCACATAAGCAAGGTATTTCATCATTTAATTCAACAATTGTATAAGCAAGCCATAATAACTTGATAGACAATTAGGTGCAAGCATATTTAATCAAGCTATCCATCTACACAAAACTATGAAAGTTATGTTCTCTGTTCCTTAAGGAACTGTGGGTGGTTATGTTCGTCGTTCCGCCTGCATGGTTATTCATCAACAAAATAATGATGTCCGTTTAATTTGGACCTTAGGGTAATTCTATCATTTGTTCTTGCAGGGTTAGTCATCAACAAAATAATATATTCAACAATATATATGCATAAATACGCATGTAAGAAAGTCTTAATTACTCAAGAAGATGCTAGTACTTATTTTCTTACTATTGACAAGTAAATCGTCAAAAAATCAGGCATGAATTCTCGTATCGATGATTTCATGACATTCAAGGGCGATGTAACGTTCTAAATTTTAACTCACACAACGTTCATTTATGTACTTTTGAACTTTTTAGATGCATACCATTACATCATTTTACGTTTAATTTATTTATATTTTAAATGTTATTACTTTTATTATTTACCCTCCCCCCCCCCCTCCCTCCCCGGTCATATCATGATATGACTCCACCTCTGATTCCATCTTTCCTTTTCAATCCTAACCACTCAGATTGTCTCATATCAAATTTAGTAAAGTTTGTGTGATTTTAAATCATTCTTGTTTTTTTCTTATTTTAACAAATCTATGTGAATCATATAAATTCATTTTTCTTGATTATTGTGTCAGATCCTCATGTCTCAATATTAGATGGACGGAAATAGTATTGTCTTACTACTTTTTTCTATAAATTTTCATCAGCAGGAACCTCTAGTTCTAACTTGTGAATGCTGGCGTAGCTAAGAAGAGCAATTCCCGCCCCGAGCATCTTCACTTTGACATAACATTTAGTTTCTAAAATTTCTAAGAAATACTTTTGTGTAAAATTATATCACCAATATTCTCTTCTCCATTGACCCGCAAGGGAATCAATCATATCTAATTCACCATGTTTGCCATCTTCGGCATTCAATTCACTCACTAACTCTTAGAAATGTGTAACTATCACTCATTAATCACACATTCCTTTCTAAAATGTCCCATTCCTAATAATATGTTTACGTGGACTGAAATTTATCGATCTCGTCTAGTCTGTTTAAATCTGATCTGGTAATGTCTTATCTTTGTTTATTTTATAAGTATAGCAATCTGCTCTGGTCTGGTTTGTTTAAGTCTGGTCTGAGACCGAAAACAGTCCAAGTAAAAACATCCTTAATACTTTTACTTGGATGTAATTTATAGTTAGGTTTGGTCTGCTCCGGTCTGGTCTGAACTGATTTTGTCTAATCTGGGAGGGTCTAATCTTTGTGTATTTTTCAACTGTCAAAATCTGATTTGACTTGATCTGAACTAGTATAGTCTGGTCTGAGACTGAAATACGTTCAAATAATAACATCCTAAGTTTGCATTTTCACTAAAGGTAATATATTCATATATATATATATATATATATATATATATATATATATATATATATATATATATATATATATATATATATATATATATATATATATATATATATATATATATATATAGGACCGGTCCTGTCCGGTTTTGGGCCTACGGGCGATATACTATTTTGGCCTTATTTCCAAAACAAACAATAAATTATACTTACTTAAAATAAGAATTAAGGAGTACAATAAAACTATGAAAAATTACCCTATGTACGACTACAAACTTTTGTATATTTCAAAATAAGACTCATGTTTTTATTTCTTAAATAGGAGTAACCAGTACCATCTTTTGACAGTATCAGACTCTAAACATGACACTATTTTTCAAATTTGGCAGTAATTACTCATATTTAGAGAATAAAAAAATGACTGCCCTCTTTTAAAATTCTCAAACATTTTTACTCCTATTTCAGAAATTGTCTCTAAAACTATCTAATAAAGGTTATAAAATAAGGATAAAATCCACTTGAATATTATTTGAATTACATATTTGGACGAAACTAACAACACAAGTATCACAAAAGAACATTGTGAAATGAAATCATCAATAATTGCTTTTTAATCAATCTTTTCCAAGATTTCATGCTCAATGCATAAAATTGTTATTCCATTAATTAAGCTTATTTGAGACATAATCAATTGCAGAATTGGGAGGCACTGGCGGCCCAAAAACAATAATATAATTTTTTATTATTGTAATTAAAAGGAAAAAAAACTCCAAAAGCTAAAAAGATGTGAAAACACTTGCTTTTACTGATTCAACAAGAAATATGTTGACTTTACAATCGACTCTACTTAAAATTCAACATGAAATGTATATTCATTTTTAAAACTTGTCTGGCTCCCATCGATACATTTTACTTTAAAAAAATCAAATTGTGAACAAAAACTACACATTAGGCCTAATTAATTAATTGAACTTATAAATAAAAAAGAAGCCTACTCACATTGCATATAAAGAAAAAATTTGGACCTAATTTTCTTTCTACTTTTTGGGCCTAGAGCGGTCGCCCCTGCTACCCTCCTCCTAGGGCCGGCCCTGTAATATATATATATATATATATATATATATATATATATATATATATATACACTAAAAGACATTATAAAAAAAAGTAAAAGACATTATATCTCAATCTTCCCCTTGGTCATTTTTTATCTTTATTTTGGTTTTACCTTTTTTATGGTAATAGTACAATAAGAAAGTCAATGCGAAATATTTTCTCACCTAAAAACTTGTGAAGTCAAAGCAAGAATTTAAATATGAACCGGATGGAATATTATCTCCGCGCATGCAGGGGCACATGCAGAAACAAAAGTTGGGTGGCCCGATACAAAAAAAAAAATTGGGTAAACTTTCACATGATTTTTTACATTAATAGACTAATAGATAAAAGCTTTTTAAAATTTGAGGTGAGTCATGACTTAATGTGCCCCTATCTCCGCCCCTAGAAGTATTAAAATAATATACTTCACTCCCTCAGAATGTAGCCATCTTTGATTTATTTTAGTCAATGGTGTTAAATTGTTAAATTTTCACCTATACTGTATTTGTAATTCCCTCCTGAATCATTATAATGAGACAATAATATGAAAATGGTTTTTAATAAATACTCCATATATCCTAATAAAGGTATTAAAAACGAGTACCGTCTTCGATCCATTACTTTTACTTGATTCTTTAGTTAACATTTTATTATTACTTGCTGTACTTTTGTTTGAAAAAAGCCTCTAAACGTAGGCTTAATTAAATTATAATACGTATAAGTAAAACATATGTTCTCAAAGAGGATCTCCATTATTTTCTCTCAAAAAGGCTTCCTAATTAAAGTCCCCTAAAGTTATAATGGAACTATATGAACGTAATTCAGTGCATTCCCAAATTACATAGTATGATAGTAATAACAAGATTCAGCGGAAACCTATTTTAATTTCAAATTAAAATATCAAACGTACAATATGAAGTTGTATCTTACATAAAAAAGTTGAAATTAGATTTTTTGTATAATAAATTTAAGGGAGATTTACCTAAATAGGATTAAATAAAAGGATAATTGCAACAATAGGAGTTTAAAGTTTATTAAATTCCCAAAATAGGACTAACTCTTCCTATTCTACCCTTTCCTTTGTCCTTGATAATAGGATTTTTAAACAATCATCATAAAATATAAAAAAATCAAAACAAAAAAAAAATAAAAATCGTAAAAAATAATTAGAAAATATATAGACCCCAACCACCACCTCAGCCACCTTCCAACACCGTCACCTCCGGTCGGCGGAAAAGATTGCCAAGTTGGGGGAAAAATGTCATCATGATGGCAATTTTGAAGAGAAAGCAAGAGAAAGCTGGATATTTTTAAAGAGAAAATGTCATCTTTAGACGTTTTCAGAGAAATGTGACATTTTTTACACAAGATGGCATTTTTTCCCGGTGATCGAAGTCGATAGTGCTGGGAGGTAGAGGACGCGTTGGCAATGACCAACATATTTTTTAAATTTTTATAGGTATTTTATTTTATTTTATTGACTTTTTTAAAATTCTTTAAAAATTTATTTTTTATTTTTTATTTTTTTATTTTTATTTTATTTTTTCACTTTTTCATTATTATTTTATAAGTATTTTTATTATTTTTTGTATTTTTATTATAAATAAAACTATGATTTTTTTATTAATAAAATAAATGTATTGGAAATGATAGGAGAGGGTAGAATGGGAAGAAGAGACATATATTAGTCATATTTTGGGAATAAAAGAATTGTACTCCTATTGTTAAAATTTGGACTTATTTTACTCCTACTCGAGGCTAATACCCGTAAATTTAAGCATTTGTTATATTTTCATAAATCATAATTGTGGGTTGACGTACATGGAAATGATGCTTAATGCTCATTGCAAGATTTAATGATACGAGGCAGGCAGGCAGAAACAGCTTGTTAGTTGACATGTCTACAATAAACGGTTTTGAAAGGGACAGGTGGTCGCCTTG